TTCGTGTTCGACTCGATTTAAATATTCTTGTTCGTGTTTGACTCGAAATTAACTTGTTAAAATTAATTAGAAAAATAGATGTAAAGTGTTGGATTCGAATTTAGACCAAATCTATACAAAAGATGACACGTAATCACAGTACCACACGAGCTATTATTATTTAAATTTAGATATAAATATGTATAATATATTATTATATGAATAATTATATATTTTTTATTTCGAGATAAAACAAGCCGAGCATGAGCGAACAAAGAGTTGTTCGTGTTCGACTCGTTTACTTAACAAACAAGTCGAACACAAGCTACTTAATGAACCGAACACCAGTTGTTCGCGAACAACGAGCTTTTTTGACAGCCCTGGTCCTATGGATGGCTGGTATGCATGTGATAATGATGGGGACCACACATAATCCAAGCATTGTTTTTTTCCCACGTTAGCAATGACGAAATATTGATGCGAGAAAAAGCTTTATAAAAGCCAAAAATAAGCTCCTTCAGTACAACAACAAACCTTTATCCTACTAAGTGGGGTTGCATTAGTTAATCGATAGTCAGCGTAAAATTTTTGTCAAAAAATCATGACATGAATCCTTTAAAAATAAGCCCTTTCAATGCAAGAAAATAATTATCTGTGTCTGAATTTCAAATTAGGTTTAGTAAAGATAATTATTTTTTTAAAATTTAATAATAAAAAAATAATTATTCTTATTTTTTAGTTTCATAAAATGAGCAAATTAAATCCAAGCCAAGCTGAATACAAAAGCTTAATTGGAGGCGATGAGTTTGAGTCGAGTTGAACACGAATAAGCTTTTCACGAGTCATTTTGAACACGAGCCAAACACGAACAATAATAAGCCTTTATCCGACTAAGGGTGTCGTTTGGTGCAGCTTATTTGCTGCGGTGCGTTTTGAAAACGCAGACAACATCGTTTGTTTTCTCCATTTTGAGTGTGTTTCGCGATGAGCTGAATGTATTTTGTATTAAACGTCGGCCACAGGTTCGATCCCGCGGCCCGCGTTGGAGAAAAACCTTTACGCGTCTGCCCTTCGGGGCGCTCTCGGGCTTGCCTAAAATCCTCCGTCAATCGCATTTTTCTCCCGGCTTCTTCTAGATGTTCACCTTCGTCCTTCTTCACGCTGTGGATTGCGCTGGAACACCCTTCTTCTACTTCCTCCTCGGCATAGCACAACTACGCCTAATACGTCCAGAGGCCCTCGTGTTCCTCTTCGCTTTCGCCCTTCTTTACCTTGTGGATTGTGCTGCAACGCCTCTCTCCCTCGTCTTCTTCTAGGTTTTAATGCCTTCCTTCTTCTCCTTCATCCTCGACATAACACGCCTTCGCCCTTCACCCTTCACCCTGTAAGGAAAAAAAGGTTTTTTTTTGCTTTCTATTCTCTTAATTTAAATGATTCGACTTTTTTTTGCACTTTTTTTGCTCATTTTGATTTTTGCTTAATGCATTTCATGCTACTATTTTGAAGCATTTTTTTAATAAAATTCTAATTTATGCCTATTGTCGAAATGCTGCTTTGCTTCTCCATAATGTTTTTTTTGCACTAGAAATCGAAGACCATGGTAACCAAGATATGTTGTAATCAATTTAATTATAATCTCTATATTGTAAACTTAGAAGCACATTTTTTAACTCATTGATTATGTTGTTTTCACTGTATTCTTTTGTCCAAATATATTGTTATAACAGTTCTGTTGCAAACAAGATTACTGTACAGGGGCAGAATGATCGTTTATCCAGAAATAACTGCAAAATATCTGTTTTCCAACAGCACAAATCAGACAACCACCCAACTTATCCCGATCAGCTGTTGATCGGGATCTTATCCAGATCAGCTGCTTATCAGCAGAGTATTGATAAGCTGCAGCTGCCCCGAACAGACCCTAAGTGGGATCAGCTACATGAATCCTTTTTCTCCATCGTGTCCTATTGAGTGTCATATTTTCATTTAATTCTAATAAATTCATATCATTTTTTTATACAGCAAGCTCAAGTCTTTTGAGGTCTACCTATCTTTCTTAACACAAGTTAAATCTAAAGCATCCACTATCCTAACTAGATTGTCAGATGTTCGACGTTTATTGTGAAAAAAATCATCTAAGACGAATCTCTAATATTGTCTGCCATTGGAGCTACACCAATTCTTTCACGGATACATTGATTTAACATTTTGTCTCTAAGCGTCGAGCCACTCATCCGCCTAAACATTCTCATTTCAACAATACTTAACTTAGTTTTATACTTCTCCTTTAAAGGCCAACATTATGCGCCCTGAAGCATTGCCGGTCTTACCACCATCTTATAAAATTTTCCTTGTAAGTCTTAGCAGTACTTTTCCATCACACAATTGGCTCAATGCATTCCTCCATTTCAGCCATCCAACTTGAATTCTACTAATAACATCCCCATCTATATCACCGTCACATTGTGGACCCGAGATATCTAAAATGTTCACACCTTTTAATGATTTGATCACCTATTGTCACCACCCTGCCACAAGATCTGCTACTACTAAAATTACTTTCCATGTATTCAGTTTTAGATCTACTCAAACAAAGGTCTTTAAACTCTAATGTAGACCACCATAATTCAAGTTATTTTTTAATTCTTTCTCCAATCTTATCCACAAAAAAAGATATCATCAGCAAAAAACGTACACAAAAAAATTACATTCCATGTACATCCTCCTGTAAATGTTCAACAGGAGAATCCAAAACTAAATCAAAGGATGGGCTTAAAGCCGATACCTGATGCAATCCAACTGAAATAGGAAAGTGCTTGGTCAATCCTCTTTTTGTCGAACAAAAGTAACAACTCTAGCATCCCTATCTTTAATGACTTGAATATAAGTCATGTTAACACTTTTCTTTTTTATAACTCTCCAAAAAACTTATTTTGAAACTTTATCATAAGCTTTTCTAAATCAATAAAAATCATATGTTGATCTTCCTTATTCTCTCTGTACTTGTCCATCGAATCTCTCAATAAATGTATAACTTCCATAGTAGATTTGCCCAACATAAATCTAAACTAATTATGAGAAATCTTTGTATCATGCCTTAACCTATATTCAGTTATTCTCTTTCATAGTTTTAATGTAGGACACTCAATCTAAACTTAATTCCTTTATAACTTGCACACTCTTGTGACCCCTTTTATTCTTAAAAAAATTAAACGAGTCGAACATAAACAAGATTTGGGCTCGCTCAAGTTCAACTTATTCACACCCCTATATGCCACTATAAATCAGCAACCAACAGCAAAACGCCAACAAATGATGCCAAGAATTAGCAATAAGTAGAAGAATGTAATTAGGAAATTTCATAATTTGCTTGAAGCTCTAAGATTTTAGAGAATTTATTCCAAATGAATTGAATTTCAGATTTTTCTATAGACTTCGAGAGAGCTAGTTTAGTCACATGTTTATTTAAAATGGATAAAGGAGATTCCAATCATTCTATCATTGAACATTTTACAAACTTCAATAAAAATGAGTCTTACCATGGACCATTGCCGACCCTCCAATCAGCGATCAAAGCATTATTGGAGGTAACATCCAATCACAAGGGTGGTAATGCATCAAACTTTCATAAATAAGGCTTAATTGGAAAATTTTCAAAAAGGTTTACAACCTTTTGTTTAGATCAGACAAAACAATCATCGATATCCTAAAAAATTGATATGGCATTGTTCCTCTCCTTTAGAGTAATATTTAGTGAATAATTGCTCCCAAAAATTTGGTGTGTACAAGTTACAATAACTTAAAAAGAAATTTTGAGAATTTAGAAAAGCTTGTGACAAAATAGGGGAGTGTTTTTGGCATACATACATTGTTGATCTTCGGTTTGAGAGTCGCTTTGACGACCTTTTACAGTTTGGCATTGCTAGGTTAAATGATTAGATCGGCTTGGACCCTTTTTTTCCTTCGCTTTAATAAGTTTAAGCTTTTGTTGGTTTGACTTGACCTTTTTGAAGTTTGTTAGGAGTTCTATCACATCAATTTGTGCTCATTCTAGCAATTTTTGAGTCAAAACCAAGTCAAATTGGAGCGTAAAAATTTGTAAGGGTATTTACATACATACCACCAAATTCCTATATATTTACATATTCAACACCTCAATTTTTCTTTTTACATTTTTACTTAAAAACATACCATCATTTTAAATTTTAAAGTGTGAAATACACCTTTTCATGCATAGGTAAGGTGGCATCTATGTAAAAAATTGAAGTTTAGGTGTTAGATATAAAAATACATAGGAATTGCATGGTATATATGTAAATCTTCCAAAATCATATTAGTCATATAAAAATTTTTATGATTCCAACACCTCACAATGTCTCTCTTTTTGAAGCTTGGTCTACCAATCTCCCTTCTTGGACCCGAGCAATTTCACTTCCCCGAGCTTCGTGCTATCCAAGTTAATAGCAAAATCACAAAAAATAGGATTGAAACCCTTAATCTCAAAACTCCAACATCCGAGCTCCTCTATCGCTCTTCTTCTAGTCCGAAACCCTAGAAGCTTGGTTTGTTGACCTCCTAATTTTACCACAAGGATTGAAATTTATCAACTTCCATCTTAATCTATTGCTACAAAAGTCCACTCAATTGTTCCCCTGAAATATCTTTTTCCATTTTCCAAGTATTTTATTTATGAGGCATTTACATGCATAGCATAGCACTCAATTCTCATGTATTTCTACATCTCACACTTAAGCCTCATATTTACACACATAGCACTCAAATCTTTAATAAAAGATACCATTATTATCACTTTTTAAAAGCGAAATACATCTTTTCATGCATAAATTTAAACCACCAAAGTACCACTTATATAAACAAGAAAGTTTAGGTGTGCGCCATGTAAATACATGAGAATTGTGTGCTAGGACTGTAAATTTCGCTTTATTTATAGCTCAAGTGTTCTGTCATTTATTCTGCCCTGTGCATGTAAATGCTGCTCTCAGACTGATTTAGCTCTGCAGGCTACATCCTCTTTCTCGCCTTCGTGATCGATCGGCTTCACCATTACCTCTGCAAATTAATAACCCTAAAGAAAACAGTTACTAGTTCCAGAGATGATCTAGAACAGCTTCAGAAGGAGCAGCTCCTCTTCAAGGAGAAAGAAATCAAATCATCAGATGAGATCAGGAACCTGAATGAAGAAATCTCCGCACTGAACGAAACGATTCTGAAGCTGAAATCCGTCTCCGACGAGCATGAAAAAGGAATGATCTCCGCCGAGTCACACGTCTCTGCTCTCCAGAAACAGTGCGAAGAGCTTCTCCTCGAGTACGATCGCCTGCTTGAGGACAACCAGATCCTTCAGGCACAGGCTCTTGGGTACAGAAGTTGAAGATTGGAGGCAACAAAATGTGAAATAAATTCATGTTTTCATTTCTGTTCATTGGGTTTTGTTGGTGAAAGATCTCTGTTAATACAGAATAGAGAAGGCTACAGGTTGTTTCTGAAGTCTAAATTGAGGTATTTTTCTCATTTCTTTACAGGTCAGTTTTATTGTGTTATTGAGTTGATGATGTTATTCAGAATTTGTGGGGCTTTTGGATATATTCATTTTATTTGCTGAATCTTTTCTTGGTTTGTATTGCTGATGTTTATGTTTAGTGTTTACATGTAAACATTTAGGTTTTAGGGGCATTTACATACATACCTCGCTCAATTCATATGCATTTATATATCTAACGTTCAAATTTCGAATGTTAGATATGTAAATATGTAGGAATTGAGTGGTATGTAAAATCTTCCTAATTTTTTATGTCGCAATCATTCATTGCATAAATATGTTTAAGTGAAGGTATTGATGGGGTTGACGATGGTAAGCTTTTTGTATGAATAATGTCGAAGTAACTATTATAGCTTTGAAGAGTAGAATTTGTACTGAAATTGTAATTCTATGTTTGTAATTGCGAATTATGCGAGTATGCGGTAAGGCGCTTCCACTTTATAGAGGCAAAGCTTACATATATCATGTATCATATATAGTGCGCGTACCCCAGATTGTAGGTTGGGATCCACGGTATAAGACCTCTCGGGTCATGGGTTCGAATCTCCTCTGGCATTGTTGGCTTTAAAAGATGTGATACTTGAATTGTTAGACACATTAGAGGTGGTTTGAGGCTCGTATAATAACAGCTTGAGAATCTTTTTTTTAGGGGCAAATCCTACAAGAATTTCAATATGGAATATTTGTTTTACAACCTTAAATTTGAAATAATAATAATAATAAAAAAACAGATGACATTTTTTAATTTCAATATTGACAAATATTTATGACTATAAATTAATAATGGAAAAATTTACATGCATACCACTTCATTCTTGTATATTTAGATATCTAGCACAAATTTCAATTTTTTTTTGTCATTTTATCTTTTGCATGAAATTGTGTACCTCTTTAAAAAAATTTAACTGGTGACATTTTTGGCGTGATATAAAAGATTTGAGGGGTACTAATGTTAAAAATTTCTTACATTTCATAATTACATACAAAGTGCATGATATATAAGTCTATTTACATTATGATTCTGCAGCATAAGATTACAATATCATAATTGCATGATCTTTTAAACAATTTTTCTTTGCTCACAAAAAAAAAAATTTTCCATATATAGGTGAGATCAAAATTTGCCGAAATTTACATGCACACTTATGTATTTGCATATGTAGCACTTAAAATTTGATATTTACATTTATAACACAAATACTAAAAACCTATACATTAAAATATATATTTCGCTTTTGAAAAGTATGTCAAAGATTTGAATGACATGTATGTAAATATAAAAATTTTGTTGTAAGACATAAATATAAAAGAATTGTGTGCTATTTTTGTAAATGACCCTAAAGTTCAATACATAACAAAATACCCAACATATTAATCAATCAATCATATTAGGCAAAGCTTGCCTATCAAAATCTATGAGTCTCATACAAAGCTTCTTCCATAAACATAAACTTTACACCTAAAGTTTAATATTTACAATTTTTAACAGTGTCATGCAATTATGCATGAAAATGTTTACTCATAAAAAGGTAACATGTAAATATGAAAAATGTTGGTGTTAGATATGTGAATAAATAAGATTATTGTGGTATGTATGTAAATGTTGAAGAAAAAAAAACAGTAATCGACACAAATCCAGAAGAACATCAATAGATTTAACGAGGTTCGGCAAAGATGCCTACGTCATCGGGAACAGAGCGACGATTCCTTTCAATATTCAGAAAAGAGTTTACATAAATTAGGGATACATAAAAACTCATAAGTAAATCCTAAGTACAATATATAATTATAACATTACTCCTGTACCTCACCTCCAACCCACATAAGGAAACTCCCCTGATTTGGATAGAATCTTCCGCTCTGCTCGGTCCGCTCCAGAATCCGTCACTTTATGGTATATGAGCCATATTTAACTAATCTCCACCTTGGCAAATATCCAGCCCCTTAGGAGAAATACGTCATGGAGTTTCTTACATACCAGAAGTGGGTTGGACCAATATACTTCTCTAGCAACTGCAAACATTCAACAAGTCCAAGTCCAAGCAATGTAACATTCAACAAGTCCAAGCAATGTAAGAACTTGTTGATAGTAACTGACTTGGTTAACATAAGTATGACATTTTCATCAGTATGAACCTTCTGCAACAGTATCTCACTAGAAGCAATCAATTCTCTGATCTTGTGATACCTGACATTAATGTGCTTGGTTCTCACATGATACATATGGTTCTTAGCCAAATAAATATCACTCTGACTGTCACAATGCAACTGAACTCCATCTTGCTCAATGCCCAGTTTCTTTACTAGCTCAGTAAGTCATAATGCTTCTTTAGCAGCTTCAGCTACTGCCACGTACTCAGCTTCAGTTGTAGATAATGTCATAATAGACTGAACTGTTGATTTACAACATATAGGCTCTCCACCAAGAGTAAACAAATACCCAGTTGTAGACATTCTGTCATCTAAATCTTATGCATAGTCTGAATTAACGTACCCCATAGCTGAAGGATCATTCTGCTGACTGTCAAAAATAATTCTGTCATACAATACCCTTCAGATACTTGAAAATCCACTTGACTGCTTCCCAATGTCACCTTCCAGGTTTAGCCATGTATTTGCAGACTTGACTAATAACATAATTCAAATCAGGACGAGTACATACCATTGCATACATCAAGCAGCCAACTGCACTGACATATGAAACATTTGCCATATCTTCGATTTCTGTATTTGTCATAGGACACTGTTCTGAAGAAAGCTCAAAATGATTTGCCAAAGGAGTGCTTACAGGTTTTGCTTTGCTTATCTCAAACATGTCCAGCACTTTCTTAACATAGCCTCATTAAGATTAATATAATCGTCTTGAGTCCCTGTCTCGATGAATCTCCATTCCAAAAATCTTCGTAGGACCCAAGTCTTTCATGTCAAATTCCTGGCTCAATAAAACTTTCAAACCACGGGCATCATTCATATTCTTTACAACAATTAGTATATCATCAACATACAATAACAAAAAAATAATAGAACGATCATCAAGGCTCTTCACATAAACACAACAATCATACTCACATCGCCTATAACCAATCTGAATCATGTAGGAGTCGAACCGTTTGTATCATTGTCTTGGAGATGTTTCAACCCATACAATGATTTATTTAACCTGCAAAACAGATGACTGCTCTATGTAAATCTGCTCCTCCAAATCACCATGCAAGAAAATAATTTTAATATCCATCTGCTCCAAATGTAAATCCCAATTGACTACTAATGCAAGCACTACCCTGATTGAAGTATGTCTAACCACAGGAGAAAATATTTCATAATAATTTATCCCCTTCTGCTGTGAAATCCCTTTGCTACCAGTCGAGCCTTGAACTTTTCATCTTCTTTTTCTAATACTGCTGGTTTCCTTTTATACACCTATTTGCACCCAATAGCCTTCTTTCCCTCAGGAAGCTGAACTAGCTCCCATGTGCGATTTTTCTGCAAAGACTCCATCTTCTCAACCATTGCACCCATCCATTTCTCTTTCTCATGACTAGTGATAACTCGTTGAAAAATGGTTGTATCATTACTGCTGATGAGACGTGCACAAGAGACCAAGTCTTCATAACCCAATCTGCTAGTAGACCTTATATTGATGTGTCTCTGTCTGTCTCTGGCTAGATTATAATTCTGCAGATCATCTGGAATGAAATCACCAGGTGTTGGATTTGAAATTTCAACTCTCTCAGTTGTTTTTAGATGTTGTTCTAAATCCATCTGCACTGCATATGAACTGGAACTGTTCCCTTACACCTTGTCTTGATTCTACTGTAACATAGACTGTTTATCAAAAATTACATCTCTGTTGATCACCATCTTTTTTGCAATCGGATCCCAAAACTTGTATCCTTTCACACCTTTCTTATAGCCCACAAAGACACACTTCTTGGACTTTGCATCAAGTTTTGATCTTTCATCTCCAGGTACATGCACATAAGAAGGACAACCAAAAATCCGTAAATAATTGAAATTAACTAGATAATCTGTCCATACCTCTTCTGAGACATTGCCACCCAACGATGCTTGAGGTGATCTATTGATGGGATAACATGCTATATTCACAACCTCTGCCCATAAACTCTTAGGAAGCCCTGCATTCAGTCTCAAGCATCTTGCCCTTTCAGTTAAAGACATGTTCATCTTTTCTGCCACACCATTATGTTGTGGTGTCTTGCGACTAAAAAATGCCTCTGAATCCCATGCTCCTCACAGAACTTCTGAAGCTGCGAATATGTGTACTCTAAGTCATTATCAGATCTCAAATACTTAATCTTTCTGTCAGTTCGGTTCTCCACCTCAGCTTTCCACAGCTTGAATTTAGAGAAGACTTGGATTTCTGCTTCAAGAAATTCACCCAAACTTTCTTGGAGAAATCATCAATAAATGTAACAAAATACTGAGATCCTCTCAATGACAATTCTCTGATAGACCCTCATACATCAGAATGCACATAATCAAGAAACTCTTTAGTTTTATATTTTTCAGTCATAAAACTGACTCTTATCTGATTTCCAAGAACACAACTTACAAAGATCGAGTTTGCAGCTTTTAACACCATGAAACATGTTTCTTCTATGCAATTTCGTCATCCCAAGTTCACTGAGATGACCCAAACACATAAGTCATTAGCTTTGTACTATCATCATCTAACTCCACAGAATGAACTCCACCTACAACTGTACTCCCCAACAGTTTGTAGATATTGCTTGCAATTAACTTACCTTTCATCACTGTTAGTGCACCCTTAATAATTCTGATGGTTTCTTTATCCTCATCTGTCTTAGGAATAAAATCATTTTTGTGTAGAGTGCCCAAGGAAATCAAATTCTTCTTCAGATCTGGAATATGTCTGACATTACATAATGTTCTAACTTTGTCTCATGCATCTTAATTCTGACTTCTCCAATACCAACAATATTGTAGTATCTATCATCTCCTAGATAAACTAAGCTAGAATTAGTTGACTTGTATGAAGTAAACCACTCTTTGTTAGATGTTATGTGATAGCAGCATTCTGAATCAAGAATTCATCCATCCGTGAACTGAGTTGATGAAACTGAAAGCATATCGCAATCACTGTAATCTGAATTGTCATTCTGCACCACATTTACAGACTTTGATGATCCATCATCTTTCTCTCAAGTCTGCTTCTTGAGCTTTGAACAATCTCTCTTCATATGATTTGGTTCCTTGTTATTGTAGCAATGAATTGTCTTTTTGCCTCTGGACTTTGATCTAGAATTTCGCCTTCTAAAACCTTCCTTTTCTTTCTTCCTTCCACGATCATGTTTACCCTTCACATATAAACTGTCACCATGAGAGCTTTCTTATGCATTCCGTTTTCGCTGGTTGTGAGCTAGCAATGCTGCAATAATCTCATCAACTTTGATAGTTTCTTTCACATATGTAAGAGTAGTCACCAAATGTTCATAGGAAGAAGACAATGAACACAATAAAATCATCGCTCGGTCTTCATCCTCAATAGTCACACCAAGCCGTGATAAATCTGTGATTATTTGATTGAAACCATTAACATGCTGCGTCAGATCAGAACCTTCTTGCATCTTCCAACCCATACAATTTTTGCTTCAGATATAATTTATTCGTCAGGGATTTAGCCATAAACTGAGTTTTCAATTTCTTTCATATCTCCCATAGAGATTTCAGATTCATCACGTGATACATAACTTCATCTGTCAGACATAGGTGTATAGTAGCTGCAGCTTGTTGTTGCAATTATTCCAAATCTTCATCCTCCATGACATCTGATTTTACGACCCACAAAACTTTCAAGATTCCCTATTGAGCCAACAAATATTTTACTCTTGTTTGTCACAATCTGAAGTTATCATTTCCATCGAACTTCACCACCTCAAATTTTACACTAAAAGTTGTCATTTGAAATTGATCCTGCGACAAATTATTCTGGAAATCTTTGTTTAGAATCTTTAAAAAAAAAAAAAAAGATTGAAAAAAAAATTCCCTTAATTAAGTTTTCTGGAAAAACAACAGATTTTTTTTTTGAAAAAAAAAGATTGAAATATTTTCTTCATTAAGTCCTCATTAATTAAAATATTTTCTTTAATTAATTGAATTGAAAAAAAAACTTTCCTTCTAGAAAATCGAGTAAATAGAATCAGATTGCGATCTGGTTTCTGCAGCAAAAGAAATTCCTATCCCGCAAAGAAATTTCCAATTCCGGTTCCCTGCAGTAGAAATCAAAGATTCCTCCATTCCTCCTGCTGTGCTCCGTCTCCAGCCCGATCCTCCCAGTCGCACGCGAATCGCGAATAGGAACTCCCCTTATCTCGCAGAGGAAGCTCCTTGTCCTTTCCGCACCGAAGCCTTCCACACCGAGCATTCGCCCGCGTTCACCGCCGAGATTTTTCTTCGTTGCCCTCGAACCAAGCTCTGATATCACTTGTTAAGAAATTAGGGCAAAGAAAAACAGTAATCGACAGAAATCCAGAAGAACACCAAGAGATTTAACGAGGTTTGACAAAGATGCATACGTTCTCGGGAGCAGAACATCGATTCCTTTCAATATTCAGAAAAGAGATTACAGAAATCAGAGATATCTCATGAGGTTACTAACATGTCTATTTATAACCCTAGGAATAAACCCTAAGTACAATATATAATTACAACATTACTCTGTACCTCACCCCCAACCCATATAAGGAAACTCTCATGATTTGGAGAGAATCTTCCGCTCTGCTCCGCTCCAGAATCTATCTCTTTATGATATATTAGCTATATCTAAACAGTAAATGTATTTTCGAAACAAACAACAGGTTATTACATAAATTCTAATATATATATATATATATTCATCCTAAAAAAGAAATTTTTCTAGGAACAATATAATTTACTTGAAATATTTGCGTCTCTAGCAGAAAACTGCAACCATATAAAAATTAATTTACGAAGTAAACACAGATTATGAAGATGGAATATTGCTTAAACCCTAATTAATGGAAATAAAATCATTTTATCTTCTTACAAGAAACAGAAAGAGCCATATCATCTTCCCTTAATCGCTTCCCAAATGCATTGATGATGCTGCAGTTCAACCACTCACTTTCTGTAGAGGCCATAGCAAAGATGGATGCTTCATTAAGTAAACCTACGGAGAACAAAAAGAAAATAATTTTTTATTAGTATCCCAGGAATTAATGCTCATCCACATAAATCAGAAATAAAGTATGATATTTATATAAATAAAAATTGAAATGAAAGATTATGTCTTTTAATCGCTTATGAGTTATGTCGTCAAAGTAATTCCCTGGTGAGACTTTTAGAACTAAGTTTTAAAATTAAATTTGACTTTGTTTCTATAGTTGAATTTTTTACATTAAAATTTAATTTATGAAATATTAAAAATATAATTCTCATGGGCCTTACATCCCATGCTTGAGGTTTACATCTCACCTCATCACAAATAAAACACTTCCACTTATATCTCCTTGTTGCCTTGGGATGGCTGGTTGTTTTCATGGCGGGGACAGGCCAGAAGGATGCGGACCATCCTTCGGTCTCCAGCGGCCATTTTGCGGGCCTGTCTTCCACAAGCGACAGTTGGATGGTTTTACTCCAAGATAGATGGGATTGCCGACATGTTCCTCGGACGCAATATAGACATTGTTGGCTAGCTCCAACAATATGGGGTCTTCGGTCGCTGCAAGCCAAGAGCGTATCGAAAAAGTTCTCACACCTTGTGCAAGGGCGGCGTGTGCGATTGCGGGTTCCAAATCCCCTACTTCTAACCTCTTCTTGTCGAAGCGGTTGATGAATGAGCTGAGGCTTTCATTCTGCCCCTGCCTAATTTGCAGGAAAGCCTGTGAGTTTTTCCGCAATTTTTGGGCGCAAGCAAATTGCGCCACAAGCATCTTCTTCAGCGAAGGAAGTGATCACCCCCGCTGGCAGTCCGTTGAACCACCTGAGGGTTGACTCCCTCAGCATGGTGAAGAACAAACAACAATTCAGTGTATCTGTAATCTTTAGGAGGCATACCGTCGACTCAAAAGACGCTAACTGGTCGACCAGATTAGTTCGACTTTTGTAGCATTCGAGAGCATGAACTTTAAAACTCTCCGGAGGCTTGGTCTCAGTGATCTGTAGAGAGAACGCATTCTTTGGCTTTCATTGCCGAGACACCTCAGTACGTCAAAACTGACGTCTGTCAATCGATACCGACCCAACGCTGTTAACATACTGGGATTCTCCTTATCTTTCTAGGGCCCGAGGATCCCTTTGATTGTTGTGTGCCAACCATTTTTCTTGGGGATATTGCCTACTGAGTGGTTGTTCTCGAGATTGTTGATGGAAGACAACCTAGAAGGCAATATCCCCATAATCTGATCCCTTAGCTCTTAGATCTACTGTTGCACAAACTCTATTGTGTATTCCATATTTGCAGTGTCTCGTTTGTTAGGTTGTTATTAAGAAGTATTAAGTGTTAGATAAGTAAATACATAGGAATTTGGTGGTATGTATGTAAATGCCCCATAACAAAATAATCAGCGAAAACATACCAGAATTAGAGTCATCAATCTTCGCTTTCTTGATACGGAGGTCATCATCTAACTTCAGCCGTTTATTGATACAGAGGAAGTCAGCATCATCATCCTCTTGCTCAGCACCAAAATTCCGATCTATGGCGCTGCCTTCTCCATTGGAGCACAGGCGATCAATATTTTTCATGTTGGGAGAGGAATGATAATCTGTGTAAATAATGAATGAATCTAAAAGTAGTAAATCTTTCACATTTTCGGATAAAACTTATGAAGACAGTTGATGGTGTGATGGGCTAGAACCTGGAACTTCAGAAACAGTATGGTTTTAAGGATTTAATGCAACGAGTATAATAGCTTTCAGTTTTAATTTTAGGGAAATTTACATGCATACAGCACAATTCTTATGTGTTTAAATATCTAACGCCAAAATTTTGACATTTACACTTATAACACCTTGATTTCATAAATCCATGCATGAACAGGAGTACTTTACTTTTAAAAAAGGTGATGATTGTGATATTTTTATAATGTGATGTTGAAGATTTGAGTGACATGCATGTAAACAAAGACGTTTAGGTGTTAGACATGTCAGTACATAAGAATTGTGGTATGTATGTAAATGACCCTTAATTTTATTTTGTTTTAATGAGCTAGATTTTTAAAAAAAATATTTAAGAATGTCATAATTAAACAAAATAATGAACTACATTTTAGATTAATCTAATGAAATGAAGAGGAATTGGCTATAATAATAATGCATGAAGATCAACTTTGTGTGTAGAGAGAGGACTATAGAGATATGGAGAGAAATTGATGACATCGTAGTAAATTGATTGAAAGATATTTTCAGTAGAAATTTAAATGCACATAATAGGAAAATATACATTTATTGGCAGTATAAGAGCAAATAATATGTATAGGTTTGTTACAAATATAGAAGAATCCCACTATATCGTGAAGTTTTGGAGAGGTTAAAGTATAATAGAACTCTATAAGAAAAAGGGAGGGGAGGAGAGAGAGTGTGTGTGGCGGAAAATACATACAGATCATCCAAAGCTTCACATTTACAAATCAACCCCTCTTTCATCCATTTTTCAAATTCTCACACAAATATCAAAATTCATGATAAAAATGATAAAACTAAAACTCCAACCCATATTTTTCATTTTTATTAAATTCTCAATAGTTTGATCGTGGCAAACATAAATACATTGGTTCGGTAGTTCCAAAAATCAACAGCGGGGTTAATGTATAAATATCAATGTTTCCGATGGTCTCCATGTAATTATCCCGAAAAAAAAAGCAATCTTTGTGCTAAGATAAATAAAATAAAATTTAGAGAAATTGAAAGGATTTGATTATGATGATCAAGAACCACAACATTTTGATTTACTATGAATTAAAAATGGGTGTTTGAAAGATATGTTAAAATTATTAAAAATATTTATGATAGCGCATTAATTAATATAAAAGTAGGAGTACTATGACCAAGGAGTTCACAATCATAATATGTTCATATCAAAGATCAACATTTATAACAACAACAACAACAAAGCCTTAGTCCCACTACGTGGGGTCGGCTACATGAATCATTTTTCTCCATTGCGTCCTGTTTAGTGTCATATTTTCATTTAGTTCTAGTAAATTAAGATCATTTTTTATACAATAAGCCCACGTCTTCCTAGGTCTACCTCTGCCTTTCTTAACACAAGTCAAATCTAAAACATCTACTCTCCTAATTGGATCATCAGATAGTCGACGTTTTCTGTGACCAAACCATCTAAGACGACTTTCTCTAATTTTGTCCGTCACAGGAGCTACACCAACCTTATCACGGATATATTCATTTCGCATTTTTTCTCTAAGTGTAAAGCCACTCATCCACCTAATCATTCTCATTTCGGCAACACTTAACTTATTATTATGCTTCTCTTTTAAAGGCCAACATTCAGCGTCATAGAGCATTGCAGTTCTCACCACCGTCTTATAAAATTTTCCTTTCAATTTAAGCGGTACTTTTCTATGACACAAAAAACCTGAAGCATTCCTCCACTTCAACCAACCAACTTGAATTCTACTATTAACATCCCCATCTATATCACAATCGCATTGAACAACGGACCCAAGGTATCTAAATCGTTCACACCTTTTACTAATTTGATCACCCAAAGGATCACCCAAAGTCACACGAAGTCACACGTCTGTCACTAGAGCTACTACTACTAAAATTACATTCCATGTATTCAGTTTTAGTTCTACTTAAATGAAGGCCTTTAGACTCCAACGTAGACCTCCATAATTCAAGTTTTTCTTGGGGTTTTTCTCTTCATAACTAAAGCAAAAAAGATATGGGCTTCAAGCCGATCCCTTATGTAATCCAACTAAATGAGGAAAATAGTTGGTCAATTCTTCTTATCGAACGCAAGTAAAAGCTCTAGTATACATAGCTTTAATGACTTGAATATAAGTCATATCAACATTTTTTTTTCTCTTAAACTCTCCAAAGGACTTCTCTTGGAATCTTATGGTAAGGCTTTTCTAAATCCATAAAAATCATATGTAACTCATTTTTATTCTCCTTGCCTCTGTACTTCTTCATCAAACATCCCAATAAATGTATAGCTTCCTTAGTAGACCTATTATGAAAAATCTTTATATCACGTTTTAACTTATGTTCAATTACTATCTCCCATAATTTTAAAGTATCACACATCAACTTAATTCCTCTATAATTTGCACACTCTTGTGCATCCCCTTTATTCTTAAAAATGGGGACCAAAATACTCTTCCTCCACTCCTCAGGCATCTTTTTAGTTTTTAAAATAATATTAAAGAGTTTAGAAAGCCAAGAAACTCTCAAATCTCCCAAATATTTTCACACTTCACTTGAGATATTATCAGGTCCTACAGACTTTCCACCTTTGGTTTTCTTTAAAACTTCCTCAACTTCATTTTTACTAATGCGACGGTAAAAATGAAACGTTTTATTGTTATTCACGATATTAAGATCACTAAGGTCGATCGTATCTTCAGAAACTTCATTAAAAAGTTTATCAAAGTAACTCACCCACCTATGTTGAATATATTTTTTCTAAAAAAAGTACTTTTTGATTTTCATCTTTAATACACTTTATTTGAGTAAAATCTTTATTTTTATCTTCTCTTTGTTTGACTAGTTTATACATATATTTTTCACCTCCTTAGTATCTACTCTATTATAAAGATCATTAAAAGCAGAATTTTTAGCGTCACAAATTGTTCTTTTAGACTCCCTGCGGACATTTTGATATTTTTCCCAATTCTCTAAGCTTTACATTTAAACCAATTTTTATAAAGTAACTTCTTATATTTTATTTTTTCTTGCACATTATTATTCCATCACCAACAATTTTTATTAATATATATTTTTTTTAGATTATTCAAGCACATCTTTTGCTACTTGTTTAATAATATTTGTTACTTTATCTTACATAACATTTGCTTCATTATGAACATCCCAAATTTTGAAATCTTGAATTTTACTCATAAAAATAATTTCATTTGTCTTTTAGGTACCTCATCTAATTCTACAACGATGATTCATAGTATTCATTATTTTTCACCTCTTAATCTTAAAATTTAGAACTAATAATTGATGTGAGCACTTAAATCCTTACTTGGAATGACCTTACAATCTTTACATTCTCGACGGTCTCTTTTTCTCAAAAGAAAATAATTAATTTGGGTTTTATTAGATCTATTCTTATAAATAATAATATGTCCATCTCTTTTCTTAAATAATATATTACTAATTCATAAGCCAAAGCAAAATCTAATATGGTTCTACCTTCTTCATTAATAACTCCAACACCATGAGCATTTCTGAAATCTTCTACCACTCTACCAACATGTCCATTTAAATCTCCTCTAATAAAAATTCTTTCTTCAAAATGTATCATTTTTTTAAAAACTTCTAAGTCATTCCAAAATTTATTTTTAGACCCTATATCTAAACCTACTAGAGAAACATAAGCACTTATAATATTAAAAATCTTAGTATCAAATGATAATCTTAAGAACTATAATTCTATCTCCAACTCTATTAATTTTACAACATTATCTTTCAAACTCTTATATATAATTACACCTACAACATTTCTAGTGCGACTCTTACCAGAATACCAAAGTTTAAAACATAAATTATCAATTCCCTCAGCCTTTTCTCCAACCCATTTAATTTATTGAATACATAAGATATTAATTTTTCAATGAATCATAATATCAACTAATTCCATTAATTTATCATTGACAGTACCTATATTTTATAATCATATACTAATATTAATTTCATTAGGTTCATGAACTAACTTTTTTACCCGCATTCGTCCGTAATGTGGGAACCCTTGTTTATGTGACACTAACACTACGCCCGGGCGCCGGTGTAGCGGCCCTTGCACACTTTTCACTGTCTTCAGGCTATACAACGAGTCGCTTCTAGGGGATGCCCTAACACTTACACAATGATCAAAAGGATTCATGTCATGATTTTTTTTTATAAGTTTTACGCTGCCTGTCGAGTACCTAACGCAACCCTCTACTTTTCATATCCGGGCTTGGGACGGGCAATGACAATGTTAAATATCAACATTTAATCCATAATTTTTGTATTGGTTATAAAAATTCTTACAAAGAACGTGGAGATAACGTGCCTTACTGTTGCATTTTAATTGAAGGAAGCTCTATTAAGAAGTAAAAAGTCCTTTTTGCATACTTGGATCTTTAATATATACGAAAAAATTTTAGTTTGTGTGACATTTTAAAAAATTACATTAAGGTGGGCTATGATGTATGCACCAGAGTGTTTGGCAAAACAATAATCAAGATTTACAGGCATACCGCTCAATTCTTATGCATTTACATTTCCAACATCTAAACTTCAATTTATACACATGTCACGTTACCTATGCATGAAAATGTGTATTTCACTTTTTAGAAGTTAAAATAGTGGTACTTTTTTATGTGATATTAAGGTTGTGGTGGTATAAATGTAGAAAGTAAAGTTTGGTGTTTAGATATATAAAAACATAGGAAGGCTTGCAAACATACAACTCAATTCTTATGTATTTACATATCCAACACCTATACTTCAATTTTTACATGCCTACCATCTTACCTATGCATGAAAAGGTGAATTTCACTTTTTAAAATTTAAAATGGTGGTATTTTTGTTGTGATATGGGAGATTTGGGTGGTATAAATGTAAAAAAGCAAAGTTTAGGAGTTAGATATATAAAATATAACAATCAGGTGGTAAAATTAGAGCTGTCATACCTGAACTGCATTCACCAATCTTCCCCTTCTTGGATGAATAGTCATCAACTAACTTCAGTTGTCTCTTGATACCAAGGCAACTGTTATAAGCCAAATGCCTGGTTCCCACATTCTGCTTCTTGGAGTAGCCTTCCAAAAATCGACTCTTTTTGTAGGGATTTTCATCATTTATTGTAGATTTTCTTTTGAAACTTGGGCGATCCACGTGTTCTACAAAAGAAGAGGAATGCCAACCTTTACTTGGAAATTGGTGCACCAAAATGCATTAAATCTAATAAGTTTATAATAACAATACATTAAGATGACTAAGGGGCAGTGATAGGATAGATTTAGCAAATAAGGTTTAATTTATTTTTCAATTTTTATATATATGCCACCTTACCTATGTATGAAAAGGCTCATTTCACTTCTTAAAAGTTAAAAATAGTAGTGTTTTTTACGTGATGCGAAAATTTTGAGTGGTATAAATGCAAAAAAGTAAAGTTCAGGTTTTAAATATGTAAATACATAGTATTAGGGTAGTGTAAATGCCCCTATTTTAATTTTCAATCTTTTCCTCGTCAAGTATATTATCCAGAGAGCTTTAGGTACTGTAATTAAAATGCCAGGAGAGATGGTCTTCCATCATCTCATTATCACAAGGCTAGAAGATTTCATGTTAATCTGCAGCATTTCTTTATAAAAAAATCCTACAAATTAAGACTGATACTCAAATTTATCCCAAACCAACATATAAACATAATGTTCATCACAATCAAAATAAACAAATAACAGAAATACAATGACGATTCAATTAAAACACTAAAACAAGATGCATAATCCAAGCTTATCATTTATCAACAACAACAACAATAAGCCTTTGTCCGACTAAGCGTGGTCGGCTACATGAATTCTTTCCATTGCGTCCTATTGAATGTCATATTTTCATTTAATTCTAATAAATTAAGATCACTTTTTACACAATATTCCCAACTCTTCTAGATCTACCTCTGCCTTTCTTAACATAAGTCGAATTGAAAACATCAACTCTCCTAACTGGATCATCAAATGGTCGACGTTTAATGTGACCAAACCATCTAAAATGACTCTCTCTAATTTTGTCCGTCACAGGAGCCACACCAACCTTTTCACGAATATATTCATTTCACATTTTGTCTTCAAGTGTAAAGCCACTCATCCACCAAAGCATTCTCATCCCAGGAACACTTAACTCAATTTTATGCTCCTCTTTTAAAGGCCAACATTTTGTGCCATAGAGCATTGCAGGTCTTACCATCTTATGATATTTTCCTTTTAGTCTAAGTAGTAGTTTTTTATCACACAACATTCCCCAATTTCAACCAACCAACTTGAATTCTACTAATAACATCCCCATCTATATCACCATTACTTTGAACAATATATCTGAGATATCTAAAGCGTTCACACCTTTAAATTTTGATCCCCATAGTTATAACTCTGTCACTAGAACTTCTACTACTAAAACTATATTCCATGTATTCAGTTTTAGTTCTACTCAAACGAAGGCCTTTAGATTCCAATGTAGAGCTCCATATTTCAAGTTTTACTTGAGCTCCTTCTCTAATTTTATCCAAAAGAAGGATATCATCAGCAAAAAGCATACAACAAGGTACATCCTCCTGTAAATGTCCAGTAAAAGCATCCAAAACTAAAGCAAAAATATGGGCTTAAAGTATATCCCTGATCTAATCCAACTAAAATAGGTAAATATTTGGTCAATCCTCCTCCTGTTCGAACACAAATAACAACTCTAGTATACATATCTATAATGACTTCAATATAAGTCATATCAACACATTTCTTCTCTAGATTTTGATTATTTTTGTCTGTTATTTCTATAGCTTTTTCTAAATCAATAAAAATTATATGTAGATACTCCTTATTCTCAATAAATGTATAACTCAAGCCTCTCAATAAATGTATAACTTTCATAGTAGACTTGCCTGACATAAATCCAAATTCATTATGAGAAATCTTTGTAATACGTCTAAACATATGTTCAATTACCCTCTCCCATCATTTTAAAATATGACACATCAACTTAATTCCTCTATAATTTGCATACTCTTGTGCATGCCCTTTATTCTTAAAACTAGATACCAAAATACTCTTCCTCGCTTCCTCAGACATCTTGTTAACTTTTAAAATAATATTAAAATTTTTAAGAAACTCCCAAATCTCCTAAATATTTTCACACTTCAATTAGGATATCATCAAGTCCTACAGACTTTCCACCATTAGTTTTCTTTAATGCCTCGTCAACTTTTTTACAAACGCAAAGGTAAAAATGAAATATTTTATCATTATTAGTGATATTAAGATCACTACAGTCGATTGCATTTTCAGAAACTTCATTGAAAAATTTATCAAAATAATTCACCCATCTATGTTGAAATCTTTTTATAAGAAAACCACTTTTTGATTTCATTATTAATATACTTTATTTGAGTTAAATCTTTATTTTTTTCTCTTTGTTTGCTAGTTTACACATATTTTTCACACTCTTTAGTATTTAATCTATCACAAAGATCACTAAAAACATAATTTTTAGTGTCACAGATTATTCTCTTAGACTACATACAGATTATTTTATATTTTTCTCAATTCTTTAAGCTTTTACAGTTAAACCAATTTTTATAACATAACTTCTTATATTTTATCTTTTCTTACACATTTTTATTCCACCACCAACTATTTTTATTTATATAAATTTTTTCTTGTGATTCTCTGAGTACATCTTTTGTCACTTATTGAATAATATTTTTTACTTTATCCCACATAGAATTCACTTCTTCATGAACATCCCAAATCTCAAAATTTTGAAGTTTACTCATAAAAATAATTTTATTTGTCTTTTAGGTGTCCCCATCTAATTCTATGACAATGATTCCTAATATTCTTTATCCTACAACTCTTCATCTTAAAACTCAGAACTAATAATCAATGTTAGGTATTTATTACAATTTTTATGTTCTCGACGATCTCTTCTTCTCATAAGAAAATAATTAATTTGTGTTTTATTAGATCCATTCTTATAAGTAATAATATGCCCATCTTTTTTCTTGAAAAAAGTATTAGCAATAACAAAATCATACGCTAAAGCATAATCTAATATGACTCTACCTTCTTCATTAATCACTCCAAAACCATAGCCACCATGAATATTTCTAAAATCTTTTACTATTATACCGACATGTCCATTTAAATCTCCTCCAATAAAATTATTTCTTCAAGAGGTATCATTTGTACTAAATCCTGTATGTCATTCCAGAATTTTTTTTAGAACCTATATTTAAACCTACTTGATGAGCATAAGCATTTAAAATATTAAATATTTTATTATGAACAACAATCTTAAAGGCTATAATTTTATCTCCAATTCTATTAATTTTACATCATTAACTTTCAAACTTTTAGACCTACACCATTTCTAGTGCGACTTTTACCTGAATAACAAAATTTAAAACCTAAGCTATCAATCTCCTTAGCCTTTTTTCCAATATATTTATTTTCTAGAATATATAAGATATTTACCTTTCTATGAATCATAATATCAACTAATTTTATTAATTTACTTGTGAGAGTATCTATACTCCAAGATAGTGGGGAGAATCATGGTGATTGTAATGACACTAATTCAAACCGTTAATAGATGTCAAGGTAATCAAAATATATTCAACATCAAATAACTACACAATTACAAAATAGATAGCCAATATTTTCATTGATTGCACTACATCATCATAATTGTTGGAAAACTATCATTATTGCAAGCTATCAACCATACTCCAATCATATGTAATGCAACAACATCAACTCAAGTTGATCTAGTCACATGACGATAAAATGATCATGCAGTCAAATTAGATCAATTTGATTCAATTAGTTTAACCATGATAGTAAAATCAAAATCGACTTAAGTAATCAATACAAGCTCAAAAATACCCCATGAATTTTGATGTTTTAATTTTGCTTTGACATAATTTTAATAAGGCACATGACAATTTAGTCACTATTTACTTCATGGACTTGTAATGATCTATAAACATTAGAGTCTTCAAGCTCTAAGAAGAACCGCCCAATAAAATCTTTTTAGTGGTACACGAATTTCAAAGAAATATATATCCTTTCAAGAGTATTGAAAACATGAGGATTTTTGAAAAAAATAAACTTGAGGAATCCAATCATTACTCAAGGCACATAACTGTAATTCCCCAAAAAGAAAAGATAATCTGATACCTATTTTGAGTTAAATAACCATGATGAGTTATGTGAGTTGGCGGTTGAATAATTGTAATAGATAGTTTGAGTTGAGCTAGGTTTAACAAATAGTTGATTGAGTCCTAGAGAATCCTTGAAATTCTATAAATACTATCCATTAGGGAGTTTTAGGGCATCAATGGAATGAAATCAAGCAGCCTCCTTCTCTGTTATTAAGGTTCTTTGTTCGCCACACTCCCAAACTATGGGCTTAATGTTATCCTAAAATATGCAGTTTATCCCTTACTCAATAAGTGTTTTATATCATAATCACCTACAAATATCTAAATCAGTAGAACTAGATATAAAAATTTTGCACTTTTACACCAACAATTTTCCTATTTAATTTTAATCAATTGGCTTTTTCAATCTTTCAGTAGTACCAAAATTAACAGCCCAGTCATAATTACAGTGATCACCAAGACCACCAAATAATCAAAAGCTCGCTATAGCGCTCAAGAAATCAATCACAGGCATCCAATAGCAATGAATCAAAGGGAGGACAACCAGAGCAGCAGCATACAGAAGAAAAAGAATCATGAAACACGCCCTAAATTTACTGAAACATAATCACTAACAGAACATTAACCTGTACTGGCAATAGGCTTTCCCCAAACAACGATGGGACCGAGTAGGGAACCGCCGTCGGGGAGACCGCGTGCAGAGAAGAAGGAAATGAGAGAGCTCCATTCAAGCTTAGATACATGATCGGCTCCGCGGCTGATGAAGTGGCCATTGAGCGTAACAGTAGAGGGCTCCAGTCCCAGAGCCCGCCCTACGCCGCCAAGATCCACACCTGCGCCGCCGCACACCGAAATCGTCACCACCGCCGGCGTCTTGCCCGAGGTGGCTAAAGTTAGAGCGACCATCCTCATATCGCCAGCGGAGCACGGAGACATCTACAAGGAGCACTGGTTGTACCTGGTTGTAGAGCGATAAAGGGGAGCAGAGCTGCTGTGCTTTAGTAATGGCAACGGCTTCTGGAAGAGTCCCGTGTTTA